GATTGCATCACGCGAAGGGGGGGGTCTGGGGCCCTCCCCCCAATTTTTTTTTTTAATTAGATCCCTGCAGATTCCGTTTTCTGCGCGAGCAGGGGGGGGGGGGTCCGGAGCCCGGCTGGACGATCCCTCCCCCCTTTACACGCCGCCTGCAGTAATTGAAGATGAATTTTAGGTCGGCCATCGCTCCAAATTTATCAAATGTAGCTGAACTTTGCAAGTGCGGGCACGGAGGACAGGAGTTTTTTTTGAATTCGGGGGGATTACTTTCGTACAGGTCTCTCCATCCTTTCATTAGAGGCAGGGGGATGCATCCGCCCCATCCCCTCCGGGATTTACGCCCATTTGCCTAATACTCATCTGCAAACAAAAGCTGGCTTGCCGCGGTCACACTGACACACTACACTATCCATAAATATATATGCAGGTGTTAGGAAAGGTCGCTGCAAAAATTAGGCTCGCGCTCGCTTGATTTCACAGCGAAATACAACACATAATATTCAACCATTCTACGTCATCTTAATTGTTTTCTATTTGAAGAACAGTGTTTCACTGTGTTATAAAACATACTCTCTGGTTTGGTAACTTGAAAACTGTGTCCAGGCCGAAATCACACAAAAGCCTGAACGAAAATTCGTCGCAATCGGCTCCCGTTGCGCAGTTTATGTAAATGGCTGCGAAGTACATTGCTCTTAGCGGCGCACTGCCATTTTGGGAAACTACCACGGCTGCTTATCCACTCCCGTCGGAGCCTCGTCAAAGCTGCCAGTGGAGTGTTGCCAAAAAGCGTTGACAGAGTTGCGGCGGCAAAAATGAGGTCCGAAGAGCAGTCGGTTGGTGTTTCCTCATTCTGACAGCCATTTACATAAACTGGCACAACGCAGGCGAACGCGAGAATTTCGTCAGGCTTTTGCGTGGATGTTCGCGTGACACACGCTCCGGTCACGAACATAGACAGCTATGTTTTGATAACAAGTGAACCACTGTCTTTCAAAGTAAAACAAAAGATGGAGTAGAATGATAGAATATTTTGTGTTGTATTCGTCTATGCTGAAATCAACGCGAGCTGTCCGAAGCGAATTTTGGCAGCATTGCTTTCCTACCTGCTATATATTTATTGTGTCAAGTGTGCAGCGGGCAACCAGCGGTTTGTTGCAGCTATGAGCATATTGACGGTTATTTACAGAATTGTCGGCTAATAATAGGTGAAAAGAGAGAGAGAAACATGAAGACTTTGGTAGTAAACTAGATTTTGTATTTATTTAGTATTATATTTTATTGAAACGCCTTCAAGTGCCTGGTGGAGTACATAGCCGGTGTAGCGCGAAATTCTGACTTGCGAAATTCGATGATATAGTATGTGTATATGCCAGGAGTTGTTGTGTAAATTCGCATTGTTCGTTGATCTTCGCGTGCGACGCATTGTATTTCAAGCTAAAAATTTCTTTCAATAATTTCTTTCATTGTTTTTCTTGGTTTTTGTACAAATAGCAGTTTGGAAATGATAATAAAGTACAGGTTTGGTACTTTCATTCTAGCTACAAAGCTATGTGCTGTTAAAGTCCAGAAACCAGCTCCAGATTTCAAGGGAAAGGCTGTTGTAAATGGTCAGTTTCAAGAAATCCAGCTCAGTGACTACAAGGGAAAATACCTTGTGCTATTCTTCTACCCGCTTGATTTGTAAGTATGTTGCATATGTATGGTATACTTCTTGCTATTAGTCAATTGAATTAAAAGCTATTATGCAAATATATGCCTCTTGCAGAATGCCCAGAATTAAACGTGGCAGTGGCATTTCACACAAAGCAATAAAGTACACATGTAAATTTTCGATTTCTTGCTGTTATCATTTCTTGATGTAATGTAACACAGTTGAATGTGCCGTAGCACAATTTATACCACATTCAGCAATATTGAAAGCATTGTGGTTTCAGTACATTTGTCTGCCCAACGGAGATCGTAGCCTTCAGTGACCATGCTGACGAATTCAGGAAGATGAACTGTGAAGTAGTGGCCGTGTCAACCGACTCTCACTTCAGCCACTTGGCGTGGATCAACACTCCACGAAAGGTATTGACGTCACATCAGAATTAACTTGTGTAGTTAAAAGCTGATTCCTGTGTGAGTGGACGCTCGCTATAGCACATGCTTAGATAATTGGTTATATACTGTATAAGCTGTATATTTTGCGGTGGTTTAATTTTTGCGAATTTCGCGAACGTGTCCCCGACCGCGAAAATAACAACACGCGAATAGTGCATACTGAATAATACCGAATAATTCATAATTCACCCACCGCGAAATGAACCACTCGCAAAATTGTCTGTCAAGTCTGAAGTCGCGAAAATATCTGTACGCAAAAAATACGGCTTATACAGTTGTTACTTTCTTTGCTACAGAATCTGAATAAGTAGAAGGTATAATTGCGTAACTAATGACATGTAGTCTATATCACGAAGCAGAAATGTTAGTAGGGAAGAAGTGCCATACGGGGTATTTGGGCAGTCTGCCTACTGTGGTACTCCAGCGAATCCAATTAATAGTTACCCAACAGTCTTCTTGAGGAAAGACCAATATTACAACGAACAATCTTTTGATCTTGTCACATTGGTTTCAAGGCTGGTGGCCTAGGAGAAATGAAGATACCCTTGCTGGCTGATTTCACGAAGAAAATTGCTAGTGACTACGATGTGCTGATCGAGGAGGCAGGCATTGCCCTTAGGTAACGTTTCATGCCAGATGTTACTATCAGAATTAGCTGTGACACTGTTCTGTGTTCTGCATATAGCATGTATTACTGCATTCCAAATTTTAGAGCTTGCAAAGGCTATAGCATGGTGCTATGCTAAACCAGAATGAAGTTGTTCTGAAACTCGATCCATCAAGAATTGGTGAACTTGTTATCGCGTGCGTAAGTCGGAGCGAACGACCGTTGTCTTCAAATCCCAAAATGCAAACTAGAACTCCGCTTTCGTCCTCTGCTAAATTCATTTGAATCTCCATCGCCTAAGTAATCTCGGTTGAAGTAAAGGTTTAGAGTTTCATCGCAGCGTTCTTCCATAGGGGCCTGTTCATCATCGATCCCACCGGAGTCGTGAAGCAGATGACCGTGAACGACCTTCCAGTTGGCAGGTCTGTTGAGGAGACGATGCGACTTGTGCAGGCTTTCCAGTTTGTCGAGAAGCACGGAGAAGGTAGGTTACTCTGTCGGCATCGCCAGTTCATAGCAGGTTGTTTGTTGCAGTCTACAGCTGAGCGAGTTACTGTGGGTTTTACTTTACTGTCATGTGTGTATGCATATGTGACAGCCACAGTTCACCATTTTGTTTAGGTTTGCATTTAACTTTGGTCGTTTGTAGCAACAATGAATGCATACATGTTTTTACATTTTAAAGTGAGCACCTTGGAGTAAGAAAAATCATGACTGATGTTAATAAACATTGACTAATTGCAAGTAGTTGTGCTGCAACCGTAGGCATTATTGTGTGGCGATATTTTCAATGTTCTTAGTTTACATATCCTGTGGTTTTAGTATAGGTTCTTTGTTTTTGTATTCCATAGTATGCCCAGCCAATTGGAAGCCAGATTCACCAACAATCAAGCCTAACCCCAAGGATTCTATGGAGTATTTCGAGAAGGTCAACTAAAAGGCAAAAACAAGTAACTGTATACACATATATAGTTTGCAATACGTTGGTCACTAAATTCGTCAGCAGATGGCGCTGTATAGCAATTAGAAATCGGTTGTTTCATCAGCGCAATGGGCTTTGCAAACGTTAGTGTGTAAATACTACCTTGGCAACACAATCAGGAGAAGGTTAGCAACACGACTGCGTTCATTTATCACAACATTGGTTCATTTCCTCGGTGATTTCCTGATTATGTGATCGCTTTTAGTCAGTTTAGTGCAAGCTCAAATTGAGAGGCAAACTATCGTGTGAAATGACATAGGGCTAATTTATTAGTAGTATAAAAGCATTACAGTAGGCTTATACGGGCTGAAGATGGTTACACTGTTTATATACTCTAATAAATTAGATTGCCCTTAAAAATTTACATTAAAAGTCATGATGAATGTTGTGTAGCACGAGTATACATTATGAATAAATCTGGTTGTTTAGATTTAAAAGATTGGTGTTTTTTTGCACATTCCTATAGCTTACATATCCTATATTTCAGTTGATCCTTCTTGAACTTTTATGTTGCATTACTACACCATTATCATTCATGTTAAAGTTTTTAAAGTAAAAAACTATTTACAACACTGCAACGTGTTATCTAAAAATAACTATGAAAACATCAGAAAAGGATATCTATTCTGTACGTAAAAATACGAAAGTTCCATATAAACATTTTTGTGTTAGCATAATCAGCAATGTGGTAAACAAACTGAAGCATCTGTGTAACTTTAATGATACATAGTTTTTGAATTAACCTACGTAATACACATTAATATTTACTGTAGTAAAACTAAATTAAAATCGTCAGGACACCTGTTATGGCTAAAAAAATTGCAAGATTTATATGTTCAATGTGAGCTTCGAATGTTTAAGTATGTTTAACTTGGAAGTCTATTCGAGAATCTTGTACGAATTTAGCCAAAGAGTATGGCATGTATTTTGTTTCATAAATAGATTTTTTGTTTTATGATTGATTTTATCACATATAACATTCACGGATCGAATGCTTCGATTCACGGATCGAATGATTCGATTCACGGATTCGGGGTCGAGGTGGTAAGTGAGTGAGAGAGGGAGGGAGGGAGGGGGGAGGGAGCGATCGAGGCATCTTGTGCTCACCGGCCGGCCCGCAGAATGCACATTATATTGTAAGCGGGCAAATCCCACACGCCAGGGAAGTGATGGTGATGCGGGAACGCAACCGGTGTCAGGGGGAATGTACAAAACAGAGACGGGATGGTCAGCGGTCGGGCCCGAGATCAAAGTGAGCCGTGGCTCGGGACAGAGCTGGCCGGCCAGAAAGCACGTAATTCCGTGAATCGAAGTATTCGATCCGTGAATCGAATCATTCGATCCGTGAATCGAAGCATTTGATCTGTGGATCGAAATAGAGGAAGAGGGACGAGGTATATGAGCAGGGGAGAAGGGGTGGAGGTAGAAGAGGTAGAGGACGAGGGAAAAGGTAGTGGAGGAGGAGGAGGGGGAGAAGGGGAGGAGGTCGAAAAGGGGGACAGGAAGGAGGTACAAAAGGGGTACAGGAATGAGATCGAGGAGGAGGGTAGAAGGTGGTGGGGGAGGAGGTAGCGGGGGAGAATGTGGTGGAGGGGAGGTGGAGTTGGGAGAT